AGTAAACCCTGATTTTTCCTTCTATACTCTTGGCCGGATTGACATCAATACAAATATTAATTGTAAGGCAGAACTAAGAGCATAGGCAGATAGAACCTTACCAGAGGGTTCACACTGAAGAAAATAGGATTTCTCTCCTTGAACAGCATCCTCACTTAGTGTAACCTGACCACTTGGAGGGTGAAAGCATACTGCAGAAAATACGGTTTCTCCTTCAGTAGCATCTTTACCTAGGCTTAAAGCTTTGTTCATGGTTGTTTACAAAGGATTTGACCATAATTTCACCTAATAAGAAAATCTCCCAGGAAGATGATCTTGAATTGCACGTGTGGTCTACAGTTAACAACAGAGACTTTGTCCTCAACACCACAGCGGTGGGCTGGGCTTAGGTGCTTCCATGGGAGCACTTTTTATTTTGCATTATTCCAGATACTAAGCCCAGCTTTATAAAATGCATTACATTTTCCCCATGTACTCTGGTTAGAAATTATTTGATGTGTTATCCAAATTTAACGTAAAATACGTAGTTTCCTAGTTAGGAAGGCATCTTCATCTTACTACTTTCTTCCAATTCACTTTAAAAGTATAGGGACTTCTCTTTCAAAAATGTGAGCTATGTTAAATATTTTGTTTTTTTATTTCAATTGTGCTTGTATTTCTTTACTCTTTCTACTCTGCTACAAATATTCTACAATGTTGAGAAATTGAGATCCAGTCTATGCATTTTTAATGAAATCACTCAACCTGGTATCCAGGCCAGTTTCAACACTGATTTGAAATTAGCCAAGTACGATTCTCCCATTTCTCTTATTCACTGTTGTTGCTGCCTCTTTCTCTCTGTCCATTCTCATTTTAATTTACACTTCACTAGTGGACCACTGAAGGGAAGGGAGAAAACCACCCTTGATCATCTTTCTCCACAATGAAATTCTCTTCCATTGTTCAATCTGTGAGCCTTTCGGAGAGGCTTTAAAATGGTAAATTTTGCAATGTAAAATTGTTAATTATAATTGTTAAAAACACAGTGGAGGTACTTGTAGGAATGAAAGATAAAATTTAGGAATGTAGTTAATTTGATTTCTGTAAGAGTGGTTTAACTTGGAGTATTTAAATTCTATTGGATATTTTAATACTACTTGACTTGCTATGAAATGTAGCCAAATCTATAAATTAGATTACTATATTTTTCAGTTTGCCCAGTATCTTTCCCTTGGGGTTTTATTCATTCATTCATTGCCGTACTGGAGATCGAAACCAGGGCATTACGCTTGCCAGGCAGGTGTTTATGCCACTGATCTAGCTCCGCGACCCTCACTTGGGATTTTTAGTATTCACAAAAGGAATTGCCACTACCTACCATTTAACCATTCTTTATAACAGAAAGCTTTAGCCTGCAAATACTACTTAGAAGCTGATTCCAGAGCCAGAGATAAGCTTCTTAGGGTGTTTGAAATGCCTTCGAGATAGTTATCCAGAAATATCCTGGCAGAAAAGGAAAACTGAATACTGTTACTGCTTCAGGCTGCCTAAATTAGGTAAAAATATGTGTGAGGCTACGTCTTCAGGAGGCTATGAAACGTTAGGCACCTTGTACTATACTACCTTAAAATATTAAAAAAAAAATTTTCCAACTTCCTCTTTCCGTTTGCCAGTAACATTTATATAAAAGCAAAATACTTGTTTCTAGAAGGTTCTGCTTCTTTTTGTCTTTATTTGAATACTGTTTCTTAATTTTGAAAACCATCTTCATCTCTGGAGCAACCAGTTCTGTTATCAGTAATAAAAGGTTTTTACCAGAAATAGGAGAACGCTGACGGCAGAGGATCCAAGGAAATATAGACTGTCGTAGGTGGGCATAGATGTGTGCATATTATGGAATGAGGAGCAGAGTGACAGGGGTATTTTTTAAGCAGTTTTTCCAAGTGATAGGTTATGTAGGGTTAAATGTTGCTGAAGATAAGCACTGAGCAGATTCACTAGGTTCCCAGGTGGTCTGCGTCTTGTACTCTGAGAAACTTTCTTTGAGATTATGATTCAGTGTATTAACTATTTGTGTTCTCTTACTATTTTATCAAAAAAATTTTTTTTCATAACTCAGAACAATTACAAAAGCCATGGTGAGCGCAGACGGTCACAAAGAGCACACTGCTGAGCCAGGCGGCCCAGGCTCCGGCCCTGCTCTGCCACAGTAGCTTAGGAAGGGTCACGCCGCTGGCATGCGCTTGGCTGCCCCGGCCTCCTCTGTACAGCTGGGACGGTGCTGCTGCCCCCTTTATAGGTTAGTCACAGTGACTGAAGGTGTTCGCTGTGCCTCTCACATAGTGACTGAGTTGCAGCATAAGGTGTTTCTATACCTTTTGTTTTCCAACCTTGTTTAATGCTAGGTAAGCTAAAAGTAACATTGTTCACTCTTAATTTTTTAATTTTGACTTACTGTCTTGGTTCAGAAACTGGTGTTATATTATTTTGATATACATGTCCAATATTAAGTAGATCTAATTTCTGTCAATGACTTTTATTAAATATGGTCTTTCTTCATAGGCATACATTATACTAACAGATTGTTGCAGTATGTTTATAAAGGAATACAATTGGACATCTACCAAGAGACCCCCTTATCTCTTAAATAAAATTTCCTTTTGATCACCTAAGTAGATGTCAATTTAATACCAGAAACTTTCTATTATAGTTTTCCACCTTGTCAAAACCATTTTGGCAATTAATGTTACATACTTAATACTGCCGTACTTTTAGCTCCTGTGTTCTTTTTGAATCATAAAACATGACCTGTAGTTCTTAAATTTTAGGGCCCACCAGTTGGTGCTGTGTGATTCCTACTCTGTGCTGAGCTGTCCCACAGGCAAGATGTGCAGCGCCCACACTTCTGAGGAAGGAGGGGAGGGGTGCAGGCAGCTGTGCACCTCACAGTTTGTTCCTGGCTGTGAGGGGAGACAGCCACACATGGGCCAGGGGCTCAGGAGTGTTCAAAACAGCTCCTCCTCTCTGGGTTCAAGTTAGAAATGTATTCACTCTTGACAGAAAAAAATCGCTGTTGTAGTCTCAGACCTGTGTGGGTGGGGACAAATTACCTGGAAGGTCAAGCAAGGACCTGTTCTCTGGGCTGGGTGTGAGAGCTAAGGAAGGGACAGCACTGGAGAAAAGAAAGTGACAAGAGAAATAGATGTTGGTGTGCTGAGTCCTTGGTGTGCATTTGCCTACAGCTGACTTCAGCTGCAAGTGTCAGGACATGTGGCCTGACTGAGGCAAAGACTGACCCGTGTCCCCCTTTGGCCACTGGGTCGGTCCAGGGTCTCTGCTTCTGCTTCTGCCTCTTCTTGGCTTGCCTCTTTTCAGGACTTACAAGGTCTCCTATTCTGTCTATCATTCACTGCTAGCTTCCATAGTTTTACATTGTGGAAGATGAGGTGGTTCTACCCAACTGCTCACAGACCTAGGGCTGTATCGTCACTGCCCCAAAGCTGTGTTGCAGCAGCTTGAAGACTGAACACGTTCCTTGTTGATCTTTTAATGAAGCATCTCTGATCCTAGCGTGGACACCAGTCATGAAGCACTCCAGGGCATAGGAAGCCCTGGAACTTGCTGTAGTAAGTTCATGGCTCGAAGGCCTGGGGCCTCCTCGGGCTGCTCACCACACTGTTGTCCTGATTGGTGGGAGAGGAGGTCTGCAGCTCTGATAGGAAATAAGTCAGGTTGTTTTTGTTTTTGTTTTTGTTTTAATTGATTGCACTACAGGACAAAAAAAACTGTCAAAAGGAGACAGTATCTGTCCTGAGGAGGGAGCCTGCAGTAGACAAAGAGAAAGCGCCTTTCCATTTTTGTTCCTGGACCTTTATCTCCAGTAAAACAAATCCTAATTTCTTCTTTTGTAGTATATTTTTTTGTTCTGTCTTATTAAGATGTTCCCTCCCTTACTTAAGTTTAGTTTCTCAGATTCTCTGACTTGAAAGTAACAATTCTTTTCATAGTCTGAAAAAAATTTCAGTTCGTTTCACAGAGAACTAACCCTTTAAAAGCTGCCTGATAAGCCAGTACAAAAAGATGGGATAAAAAATTCAGCTCTTAAACTTCAAGATGTCCATTCTTGTAAAGAGAGAAGTTAACCTGATGGCACTGTACTAGATACCAGCTGGAGATTGGCAGAGACCCAGACCCAGAAGCTGACTGTTCTAGCAGTCCCCACACGCTTTCTCACCCACTGCTGGCAGAAGCATAACTGGTACAGCCCCTATGGAGGACCTGCCAGCTGGGTTTTTTCAAAATATCAGGTGGGCTGGGGAGAGTGGTGCATTCCTATAAAACCAGCACTCAGCAACGTGAGGCAGGAGGACCTCTATGAGTTGAAGGCCAGCCTGAGCTACGTGGTAAGGGCCTATCTTTAAACAAAATCAAGTGAATATAATCTTGAAACTGCAACTGTAGGAATTTATTTATCCTGTGGATATATTTTCATTTTTGAGACATGACACAAAAATTGTGCTATAGTTTTTAGTTGCAGGAGACTGGAATTGTGTCAGGAGTGTGTTCAATGAATTCAGCACATCCACATGAGGATAACTGTGCTGCCATAAAGTACAGTTTCCGTATGAACCCGTGTGCCCCACTGCATTAAAAGTACAAGGTACAAAACCCCGTATGTTGAATGCTAAGAGTGCGCAGAACACACCCATCCCTTGGGTTGTACAGCTCCAGGAATAGATGAAAGGCTTATGGTGTCATCGCAGAAAGCTGTTGCTTTAACACACTTGTCAGCAGATGCCTGCCCTGTGTTTTCACCCAAAACCCAGTTTCTAGTCACATTCCAGTTTCACATCCTTATATTCTGTACTTGGTAGAAGGGGCATTTAGTGTGACTTCTTAGTTGGAAGGTTTTGAAGGTCCCCCTGGCTCTTACTACCTTTGCTAGTGAATGTCTGATCAAGAGTACTTACTTTGAAAACACACAAGGGAAAATCACATTTTCCTTACTTTTTATGTTTCAGGGAGAGACGTTTGCTTCAGCCCGCCCAGGTGTGTGACATTTTGAAGGGTGTCATTTTGGTCATCTGCTATTTCATGATGCACTACGTTGACTACTCCATGATGTACCACCTGATAAGGGGGCAGTCTGTCATCAAGCTGTATATCATCTACAACATGCTCGAGGTGAGCCCTCAGCACCACAGGCTGCCGACACGGCCAGGAAGGGCAGCTTCAGTTCTCCTGGGCAGAAGGTTCCTCGGGGCTGAGGTAGTTTTCTCCCAACTCAAATAGAAGTGCTCCCTGTCTTTAATATGGGTTTGGTAACTTGGGGATCCTGTTAAAGTGCTGGCTCTGATTTTGTGGGCCAGGGGCAGGCCTGAAAGACCTGTGCTTCTCCTGGGGAGCTGCCAGGGCTTTTGGCCTTGGATTTGGGGAGCAGGCCCTGGAGATCCTGTCTCCTGGGTTTGCTGCCTGGATGTGTTTGAATCAGTACTCCCTAGAGAAAGTGCACTGTCAAAAGCTAAGAAATTTGTTTTGCAAATTCGTTGGAAATCCATGTGTACTTTTTACTAAAAAGTTAGAGAACGTGAAGTAAATGTTACCATTTTATATCTGTGTATGTGTATATACTATAATATATTGCTATAATAGATTTATATTTTAAATTGACTTGAAATTTTTAGTTTTCAATTTCTCCAAGAATTTAACATTTTTAATACAAAAATTTATTTTAAAATAGTTAGTATATAAAAATAGGCATTTACACTAAATACAAGTTGAGCAGTTAAGTTTTTGCTTTATAAAAGGTACTCTGCCTTAAAGACTAAATCTTTGTGTTCTTTAAACAGAAAACTATCCTGGATTCATGTAATAAACTTCCAAGTTCAGGGGCTGGTGAGATGGCTCAGTGGTCTAAAGCACCTCCTTAGAACAAGCTTCGCAAAGCACAGGGACTGCGGTTCAATCCCCCAGCACCACATGCCAGCCAGCCCCGCCCCCTGGTGGGCTGAGCTAGCCACACACACACACACACACACACACACACACACACACACACAAATAAATAAAATTAAATAAATAAATAAACTCCCAAGTTCAGGTTGTACTTTTCTGTATTGCACCCAGGCCTCTCCCATGCCAGACAAGTGCCTTGCCCTGCGCAGCATCTCCACCGCAGCCATCCCACTTTTTTAAGAGCTGGGTTACTACTATTGGTAAGGTCTGCCTCTCAGGCCACCTGTGCAGAGATAGTTTTCCTAGTTAAGTGGGCAGGTGGGTGATGTGGGCGGTAGCCCGGTCCACTGCCACACCATGCAGAGGTGGGCTTCCCATCAGTCTGCAGAAGCTGTGGGCCCAGGATGCTTTAGGTCTCCACCCCAGCGTCCTGCCTGCAGGCTCTCTGTCTGGGCCTTGCCTTATCCCATCAAGAAGGCTGCCGAAAGGTGACTGTAAGAGAAGTTTGTGAAACAAAGCAGTAGACTCTGTCCTGCTCATAGAAAGAAAGGCTTAGGCCTCCCTGCACTTCTTGCGGCTGTTGCAGTGTTCATGCTCTCAGATCTGTGCTCTGCTCAAGTCCTTTACTGTCCGCTTTCCTCGGGGATCACAGGCACAAGGGCTTCTCCCACGCTTAGTACGTGTGCTCCTCACTCTCAGCTGCTCCAAGATGGTGTTGTGCTTGTTACTAGAAAACAAGCAGGGGGATCCATGAATTGCTGGTTCTTGTGGTTAATACTGCTTCATAGACTATGACTGAGAATGTGGCTTACACATAGTGGGTAAGAGTTCAGCCTCTAGTCCTAGAGATGACTAACTCTGATCAAATCCTGGCTCCTTCTCTTAGTACCTGGTTATGGTAGACATGGCTGCTGGCTGTATGGTCCTCAATTTTCCATGTATAAAGTAGAGATAGTGAGGAGATGACAAGGATTATGGTGACGCAGAGGCTTGGCATGTTGTCAGATGCATGCTGAGAGCATCCAGAGAGGTCCCTGTGTCCTAGGCAGCACACACTTACTTAGCCCTTCCTGCCCAGGCTCTTGGGCGTTGAAGGCCCAAAGGGGAGCAGGCCTGCTCTCTGCTAGAGTTTGTAATTCCAGGTGGGAGGTAGATGGTAAACAAAGAGGTGTTAAGAAATGAAAGATAAAGACTGGAACCACAGAGACAGAAGCCCTGTGAGCGTTGTGTTCCAGCTGACTCCTGAAAGAAGGCACTAAGGTGTCTTCTTTTAAGGGGATCATACTCCATGTTCTGCTGTACTAAACTTCAAACAAATACAGTGCACTGTTTACAAATAATAGCTATGCAGAGTGAGTCCTGATACATTTATCTTGAGGAATTCAAGTTGGAATTCTGAAATTAAATTTAAAGTGCTAAAGCCAGAGGAACAATTTTGTTATGCCTGCTCTACTGGTTGATACTTTGTGTCAGTTTGAGAAGTTCCAAAGTTTAATTGACTCAGCAGGGAGCCAGGGTTCTTACTTTGTAAACATCCTGTGCAAGAGGAGGGCATGGACACCTTGTGAGCTCTACACCCCACCCCAGGTAGCCTGCTTACAGTATCAGGAGGGGAGAGAGGCTGGCTAGAGGCGGACCTGCTGCCCCTACCTTTGCTCTTGGGCTGTGTTCTGCAGCCAGGAAAGGCTGCCCTCTGACATGTGCCACTGTGCCTTGGAGCCAGCCAAGTGTGGACCGAAACCTCCACTAACCGTGAGCTGAAGAAACCTTTCCTTCCTTCCTTAATTCTGGGTGTTGGGTATTTTGTCCCAGCAACGAGGGAAAAGTAACCAAGACACCTGCCCACTGCCACCTCTTTTGCCAGTGTCTCAGACTTTTTGTTACCAGCAGCTGATTAGACAAAGTCTAATTCAAATTTTGCAAATACCAGAGCACTTACCGTGTGCCAGGGAATAAAGAAATTTAAACAAATAAATCAGCAAAGATCCTTCTCTTCATTAGATTATCTAACCCTGTGATTTAAACATCCGATTCCAGTCTCAAGGTACACTGATTTGGGCCATATGTTTAAATGAACTATTAATAACAACTCTCTGACATCTCTCTCCATAGGTAGCTGACCGTCTCTTCTCGTCATTTGGACAGGATATACTGGATGCTCTGTACTGGACAGCCACAGAGCCCAAGGAAAGGAAGAGAGCCCACATCGGGGTGATCCCTCATTTTTTCATGGCTGTTCTCTATGTGTGTATCCTTTCAGGCTTCCTAGAAAGCCCCACAGTCAGCGTGCAGTCTGCCATATTTTACTTGGGTATCTGTTTCATAGAATTAAAAATATGTGTGTGTGTGTGTGTGTGTGTGTGTGTGTGTGTGTGTGTGTACACACGCGCGTGCATGCGTGCACCCTAAAGATTAATTTCTCCTCTGAGAAACTGCAGTAGAACGTGTAATCGCATTTAAAGAGCCTTGTATGTGCTTTCATGATCTTTGGAACTGCTAACAAACTGTTCTGCTCTTGGTGTAAACTTTTGTAAGGAAGGATTCTGTCATGCAAAGTGTATTGGTACGTACTTTACATAATAGAGCTATGTGACTTTTCCATACTTATTTTTGTTGAAGTTATCTTTATATGTATGAATTATTTGTTAGAATATTGGAGATAGGTTGTATGCCTGGAGCACCTCTGGCCTAAAGCTTCTCTTTCAGGGTTCCTATAGCTTTATCATCTACATGTATTTACCACATATAAGTATTTCCAAACATGCATGCCTACTCAAGCTCCATGTGGCATCAGGACTCATAAGGTAAAGAACTGAGAAGGTATCTGCAGGAGCAGAAGCTTGCTCCAGACTTAGTGGAGTAAAACAGTTACCGCTCTGAGATACAAATTAACCATCCCAGGTGTAAGCTGTATACAGCTCTGCAAGACATATAAAGCAGACTCTTAATGTTCAGGCATTTCTGACTGCCTTTTAACTAAGGACTTAGAGAAGAAAATAACTTCTAGCTAGCTAACTTTGTGTTTTCGTAAAGTTGAAAGTATCTCAATTCACAATACGTACTCTGAAGTCCACTCTTTCAGTATTTCCCATAGTTTCATCTATTTTTCAACAAACTTTTCTGAGGGCCTGTTTCCCAAGCATTGTGCTAAATACCCAAAATACAGGAAGAGTGAAATAACTGTTTTATCCTATTGAATCTATGTAACTGTAGCTAACCCAGAAAGTATAAATGTAGTAAAATACTTAAGTAAAATGTGATTTAGAAAATAGTCACTTTTCCAATTACCTGTTTTCAAAATTTTATAGTATTGCCCATTAATAGTATGAAATCAAATTGAAGGGTTTTCCTTGACAGACTTTTAGTTTTGCATGCAATTCTCATAATGGTTCAAGCAACAACTCTCAACGTAGCTTTTAACTCACACAACAAGTCATTGCTTACTATCATGATGTCTAATAATGTAAGTATGAGATCTCATTTTACATTCCAAGTTGGGAAAATGCTTCAACAATAATACTATGCATGTAAATTTTTTATTCTATATGAGGAAATTGTATATGTAGCCAGTCGGTTTTTAGCTGTTATAATAATAAAGATGATATTTCTGTTTACTATTTCAGTTTGTTGAAATTAAAGGAAGTGTTTTCAAGAAGTTTGAAAAGAACAATCTCTTTCAAATGTCAAATAGTGGTATGTACAATTAAATTCTACTTGCAGCTCTAATTAAAATTAATTCAAAGTGGTTCTTGCCATAAACATAAATGCTAAATTACATGATGATCAAAAATAGCTATTTTTTAAAACAAAGTAATACTTGATGAGAAGTTTTCCAGCTAGTAGTGCTGACGCATCTAGATGAAGGCTGCCTAGAAAAAGGAAATTGGACCTCACTCTCTCCCAAAGAATTAACTCAAAATGGTTCATTACCATAAACATAAATGCTAAATTATAAGACTTTTAGAACAAAATGTAGGCGAATATATTTATAACCTTGGGTCGGAGAAATTTTTTTGGAGGGGAGGGCTTTGAGACAGGGTCACTGTACAGCTCAGGCTCACCTTGAACTCACTGTGTAGCCCAGCTGGTCTCGACCCTGCCGTGATCCTCGTGCCTCAGCCTTCCAAGGACTAGGATTACTTGGAAGTCCTAGTACTGTACACGACTCAGGAAAACATTTTTAGAGACTACTCAGAAAACATCATGTAACTCGGTAGTGTCCCAAATTTTCTGATCAAGGAGATTATGGGGCCAAAGAGGAAAGTGATTGATGATGCAGAGTGTGCCTAAGGAGAGTCACATGGAGAGAAAACATTCCCTCAGGCTTTCACAGAGAGCACATTGGCCAAGCAATGGCCGTGACTCATCCACATGGCTGACACTGACAAAGGTTCTACAATCTGAGGTA